ATGCATTTCTGATCTGATTTCCCCACTCCCTGCTTCATCTCTTCCCCAGGGTCTTTCCAGTGTGGAACTAAAGGCATTCTGGCTCTGAGGCACGGCAGGTGTTGAGAAGTAAGGGGTAGCATGCTAATAAACCAGGGGCAGCTGTTTACTAGTGGCAAATATTATTGGGGGGGGGTTCTGCCTCAAGTATGAGGTCAAGTGATGAAAGGGTGGCTGAGAATATCTTTGAGCACTTTAAAAAACATTTAACAAGGTTTTAGGTATGGACGATTCTTAAATCACGTTTTAGATTTGATGTCGGCATTGCCCAATGCTCAGTCCTTCTTGTTTATTTCTGGTTTTGATTTGATTAGATTGGTTTTGTTTTGTTTTGTTTTGTTTTGAGACAGGGTCTCATTGTGTAGCCCTTGCTGACCTGGACTTGCTATGTAGACCAGGCTACCCTTGAACTCCCAGAGATCTTCCTGCTTCAGCCTCCTGAGTGCCGAGTGCTAGGATTAAAGGTGTGTGCCACCACCTGAATATTTTTTTTTTTTTGAGACAAAAATCTTATTATGTATCCAGCTCAGGCTGACCTCAGACTCACTACTGGAGTTCATTCTGGCCTCAGACACATAGTAATCCTCCATCTGCCTCAGCCTCCCAAGTCCTGGGATTACAGGCATGGGTCACCATACCTGACTCCCTAATGCTTTGATATCTGATTTTTAGTGTGTCAAAAATGTACTGGCTGTGACAGAATTGCTGATGCTTATTCTCACTTGTCTTTTCAGTCATCCACTCACATATTTTTTCGCTTTAAGCTCTTACATTGCACTAGGTCCTGGAAGGGATGAGAGGAAAAGAAATCCTCTACCATCCAAAGCTGATTGTCATTGAAGACTGTAGGCTGAGAAACAGCTAATAAGTCAGTGAATTGGTGAGCAAGGGCCCCAAAGAACGATGTAGAAAATAGATGCTGTTGAAACAGGAGTGAATTAGGAAGTTATTATGTAAGAGAGCAACTGGAATGGGGCAGCTAGAGTGCTGTAAAAGGAAAGAAGGCTCCAGAGGAGAACAGATCTGTGTAGATCCTTGTGTATTCTGTCTTCCCAGGAAGGATGTCACAGGTTATAAAGCGTTCATGATCTTTATGAGAGATTTATTAAAGCAACAACTCCTGCCATATGACCAGCCCCAGTGTAGTTTTGAGGTCAACACCCGATGCCGATGCACTGATATCCTTGCATACAGATTCCAGTACTCTGAATAGTACCAACAGTGCTTGGAATGTACCAATATATGTTCAGTTTGGATTCAAGGCTCTTTCTTCTTTCTTCTGCCCTGACCTCCTTCTTCACCTGATCCTGTCCAATTGCATATTGTCCAATGGGAAAGCTAACATGGATGCTGCTTCCCAGCAGATACCCCTCAGTGACAAGTACTTCCTTCGTGATTCTTCTCAAAATCGAATTTCCTTTCACTGTAGGAACTGCTTGTCATGAAAACCTAGTAAATGATAAAATATATCTTAAAAATCGAGTTTAGCAATGGCAAGTATTGGGGGTGGGGCTGTAGCTCAGTGGTAGAGTGCTTATCTAGTATGCCTGAGTTCCTAAGTTTGATCCCCAGTACTGAAAAAAAAAGGGGGTGGGGTGGGTAGAGAGATGGCTCAGCATCAGTGCCCTCTTCTGGTCCCTACTGGCACTGGCACACACATGACATATATACACACACAGACACATAAATAAAAATTAAAAAGAAAAAGGAAGAAAAGGCTAAGCATAACCATCAGAAGGCCAAGAATGACCATTAGTAAACATTGAAGGGGAGACAAGAGCTCTGCCTTTAATAGCTTTCTTTAATTGGGAGTCGACCACGATCCAGGGTAAATAGCACTGGAAAGCAATGTGTGAAAAAGCCTTGCCTGAGTTTCCCACATTTTCCACTTACTTCAAGACCCCAGAAGTCCAGACTGGGTAAAGAGAGCCAGTTTCCTTTTCTCTCCTAGTCCTGCAGAGAAAGTTGGATGTTTGGGCTTTTAACATTGGTTTTGGTTTTGAGCTTCACGGGCATTCGATTATGTATTCTCCCCAATTGGTATTGGGCTGTGAGAGCTGTTATTGATGCCATGTTCATGAGCAAAGTTCTTTCAACTCTGATTTATGACAGCTGTATTGGTTCTCAAGCTGTCTGGCTGTGGCTAGGAGTGTAGATAGCATCTTTGGAAGGCATGTAGGAATCTAGGAGATCCTGAGCGATCAAGCCCTGGACCTTGATCTCATTCACGTTGTACCCTGAGCCACTGAACCAGTGGGCTCACTGTTTAGCAGATCAGGTCAACAACAAGGCCAGGAGAGGTTGTTCATAGGTTCCCCCAAATAGTAATTATTATTGAGGCAGCACTTTACTGAAAGAGTTTACCTAAGTGTTTTACATTTAGACAAATATAATTCTCATGGGGGGGGAGGAGAGAGAGAGAGAGAGAGAGAGAGAGAGAGAGAGAGAGAGAGAGAGAGAGAGAGAGAGGAGAGAAACAGAAACAGAGAGAAGTATTGGTCTGTGATCCTTTCAACCATATTCTTGAAGGGTAATCCACACTGCTTGTCCTTGGAAGTCAGAGGGTTGCTTTCTAATGGCTCTGCCTTCCTCAGGCTGTTTGGTGACACTGAATGAATGGCTCGTCTCTGGGCTTTAGCTTCCTTAACTTGTCAAATGGGGCTTGAATGACAGGTAGAGAACCAATCACTTAGTTTAGACTGTTTCATCAGTATTTTGATCAGCAGAAAGAGTCCTTGGCTGATTTAGGAGATCCAGAGACATAGAAAGTGTCACAGTGGCAAAATTTTGTTGAAGTCATTTTTATTTGTCATCAAATTTGCCTAAGTGGTACATTCACTATATAATATTCTAGATTACTACATCGTGTCACCGTGTCCCCAGACTGACTCACAGTAGCCTGTCAGGAAGATGTACCATCTTGGGTTTTAATTTGGGGTTTCAGTAATTCCTGTCAGCCACCATGTATTCAAAATGCCATTTTGAAACCTTCATTTTGTTTTTGTTTTGAGACAGGTTCTCACCTTATTGCCCAGGCTAGCTTGAACTCATTGTGTAGGCCAGGTTAGCCTTAAACTTATGATGGTTCTACTTCAGCCTCCTGAGTGCTGAGGTTACAGGCATAAGCCACAACACCAAGCTCTTATAACAAGAAGATGTCATGTGGATGGTAGCAGCCTCAATTTCCAAGAAATTTCCATTTTTCAGAACAGTTTAGCATGCTTTGTACACAGAAGCAATCCATTCATGGATAAAGTAAAAAGAGAGCCTTGAGGCAGCCACCACTTTCAGAAGGTTCCAGAAGCACCCTGTTTTTATTCAGATTTTAGTCCAGAGTTTTAAGTTGGCTTTGGATTGCTTTGAGGAAATTAGATTAGGGTACCATTACTTCTAGAACTCTCCAGGCTTTGTCACTTGTAAGGTGTTTTAAATAGGTTCAATTGACATTTTTTGTGCTTGATTCAATGTCTTTTTAAATTAATTATTTTAAGTTTATAGCCATAATGTGGCTGGTAACACAAAGTAACAATGTTTAGGACACATTATCAAAATCACCCAAAAAAGAGGTATAAAATAAATCCTGAGTTCATATACAAAACAGAGATTAAAAGTTTAGATGTAACTCTATTCAAGCAGAGAAAATGTAGGTACATTTCTTCCTTCTGAAATAATTACTATAAATAAATTAAGGATTAGCAAGAGTTTCTTTATATTCTTTTAGGCATAGGATTCCTCCAACCTGCCCGCCATATATTACTATATAAGGAATTTCATATTATACTATGGAAAGTTATTATTTTTTCATACTGAATCCATGGCAGTCTGCTTCAGAAACATTTCTTGGTAACATAAAATGGCTAAGCAAATTCCAGAAAATTCTGTTGTTCGTAGATTAGGGAAAGCATTTTAAAATCCCTTTCAAGTCCACTTTAGTTTACTTTGTCAAGAAAGAGTGGATCTTAAGCATGTCAAATCTCAAGTGACTAGAAGTGACTCATCAGAATTCTGTTACGGGCCTAGCAGACCCTATTCCATTGTTTTCAATTAATATAAATAAACCCCAACCAGAGCTCATTCATTGAAAGATGATTGTCAATGTGTGTTAGGTAACATCTATATTTCCAAAAGATACAGCAATCCTGACATGTGTGGGTGATAAAAAGATCAGCAAAGTGTATCAGGTGCAAGTGAGGTATATGTAGTGGGGGTAATTCAAAGCCATATTACTGGCACACACTCCCATAAAGAGTTTAATGAGGTTTCTGTATCAAAATAAGCAAAGCCATATGGTATTTTTAACTAGTCTTACAATGTAATTTTAAGGACAAATAAATACATCTGAGGAGCTTTCTCCCCCCTTAAACTTTAAGATGCCTATCTGTGTGAACTCTGTGCTTACATGAGGGCAAACCTTGACGTTTTAAGTGCGACATCTTTCCGTTTTAAATTGCTGGTGTTATCTTGGCTGTTCTCACATGTTCTGGGTATTGAGTTTAATGCACACGGCAGTGGCTTGCCCAGACCTAGTAGGTGGGCTAAGTTCACCTAGATGCTCTTGGACTGCTGAGGAACATCTGTGACCTCTACTCAGGGTCTGTATTGTTTAAGATAGCACATCAACCCTGGGTGGGGAGGTGGGAACTCTCAACTACCCCCATGTCTCATTCTCTCATGATCACTACACTTTCACATTCTAAAACTTGAGTTTGCCAGAAATTAATCCGGGGGGGAGGGGTTTGGGAGAGGTGATTCCAGGGCGGAGGGATTTCTAAAGACCAGGCAGTACCTGCCTACTATTATGTGCAACCTCTGAGGATGGGTGCATGGGTTCTGGGAAGGCACTAATGAGGGATGGGGGACCCCATCTTGCCAAGGCGGTTGCTACTCCCCTGTCTTGGAATCCCTGGTCATAGACTGCTAGAGCTGGAAGGGAACTTAGAGCTCGTCCCCTCATTTTTCAGATGATGACACTGCCACCTCTGACTTCTGCCTCTGGCCTTCCACTCTCAATAAGAAGAGCCAGGCAGGTGAGACTTTTCACAATTGCTGGGCTGGGCAGGGCTGGGCTGGGCTGTCTGATGACTACTGTCCGGTGTGTGAGAAAAAAGTTTTGTTAACCATCTGTTGCTTTCAAGCAGTCACTTTATAGTACAAATGCATTTCATGTCACTGAATCCCAGCATCTTGTAAAGATTCTATGCATTTTAACAAACCCGAATCACCTTCTGATAGCCCCTTTCAGGACAAATATTGGGATCATCCCTTTAATAAACAGCATACTATCTGAGAAGAAAGACTGAATAAAAACTGGGTTGAGGAGCAACTTATTTATTAAGGTCTTCAAGAATTGCTAAGCACTTTCCTTTATAGCTAAAAAACTATAGCAAAGACAAAGATATGGAATCCAAATGATAGGGGATTTTTGAAGCATCAGAATCTTAGCAAGAACATTGGTATTAGAAAAGGGCTTGTCATAATTCTGTCAATTCTAGAAAATTACAATTAACCCAAAGATCACACCTATGAGTTTTATGCATTTCAGGAAACTAATGTCCAGTGAAAAGTAGGAACTGTGTCTTCATAAGTTACTGAGCAGCATCCACTAAGGAGGCCTACCCACAGCTTGAGAAGTGAAGGGACTTCACAGCTTACCAGGAAGCCATCTCCATCTCTGGGTTACTGCTTTAAATCCACCCAAACTCATTCTGTAGCACAGGGGTCTAGCAGGCAGCAGAGCCCTTCTCTTAATCTCCTCTAGGCACCGAGCCTTCGAAAAAGCTGCCCTGGGCACAGGGCCTAAATCAGGTCCTCGGTCATCTCCCAAGACTTGAAATGCAATGGCTGTCAAGGTTCTAAGCCCCATCCCTCGACTTCCTCCTTTACTTTATTCTTCTTACTCTGGTTGAGCCAAAGGAGAATTTCTGAGGGCTAGACTCTCCCCAACACCCCCGACCCCCCCCCCCAAAAGCAAGACAGTGTTAGATCACATTGAAATATGCTTTAATTTCACTGTTACTAGGATGAGGATTATAACAAGATTTTCAATTCTTATAAGGGTTTAAAAGAAATGGTAGGAACATGTTAAGGGTATTAGTTTGATGGGTTTTAATTGACAAAGGAGCCTTGCCAAGGGTACCGATAATAACATTGATTAGTTTGGAATGACTTTGTACTGGGATAAGAAAAAAACTAACTGGTCTGATTTTGTAAAAGTTTCACTTTAAATATCTAAGTGCAACAAGAAACAAAAAGAGGGGCAGGGGAAATCAATGAAGATAGTCTTAAAGTTGGACGCATATACCTACAACCAGAGTCTCGGGCTGACTTACCCTTAGGACCTGGCACATATTTGGCTTTTTAAAGCCCTTTGGAATTCGCTGGGGTGAAGAACTTCAGGACAAATGCCACTGAAATTGTGATGTGGGGGGAAAAAAAGGAAAAAAGGAAAAAGAAGACTGAAGTGACACGTACATTTGAAAATCTGTTTGTGACTCGATGTTCCTTTGGGGGAAAGCTAAAGTTTTCTTTTTTTAATCTTGTAAAAATTCTATCATTATTTTAATTGATATTTACAGATGTTTCCTCCCCCCATCTTCTGTTATAATTTTTAGGTGCTTCAGAACTGGGCCCTTTTTCAGACCCCAGGCAGTTCCCAAGCATTTCATCCCTCACTGAGAGCCGCTTCTCCAACCCACGAATGCATTATCCAGCTACCTTTACTTACACCCCGCCAGTCACGTCAGGCATGTCCCTCGGCATGTCCGCCACCACTCACTACCACACCTACCTGCCACCACCCTACCCCGGCTCCTCCCAAAGCCAGAGTGGACCCTTCCAGAGCAGCAGCACTCCATATCTCTACTATGGTACTTCATCAGGATCCTATCAGTTCCCCATGGTGCCGGGCGGAGACCGGTCTCCTTCCAGAATGCTTCCGCCATGCACCACCACCTCGAATGGCAGCACGCTATTAAATCCAAATTTGCCTAACCAGAATGATGGTGTTGACGCTGATGGAAGCCACAGCAGTTCCCCAACTGTTTTGAATTCTAGTGGCAGAATGGATGAATCTGTTTGGCGACCATACTGAAATTCCTCAGCAGTGGCCCAGTGACATCTGGGGGCCACATCCCACATGTTAATATATACATATATAAAGAGAGTACATATATATGTATATTGATTAGCTATCTAGAAGATTTCTCATTCGTTCCCTAGTCATGATCTTGCAATCCTCAGAGGGTAGAGAGAAGCAGAAAGCTGGAAAGACAATCATAACTGGGTTTCATATTGTTTACTATTTAAGATGTCCTTTGTACCGAGGAACAAGAAGGGTAAAGCTGTTGTTGTTTGGTCTGTTGTCATAAAATAACCTGTTCCTATGCTGATTCAGAGAGGTGGACTCCGGGTTGAGGAGGGAGAAGAGAAAAGCCGCTTCCTCCTAGTGCTTTCAAACCACACACCTCCCTGTGCATGGCAGCTGTTGTGTGGGCCCGTGCACCGGCTTGCAAAGCCAGTCCTGGTGTGCAAGAAAGGGGACGAGAGGTAGCACGGATGTTCCCAGTACCATCCATTCTAAATAACTGTTCCAAAGTTTGCCTTCAGACTTACTACGGTACTCATTTAAACTGTTCAGTTATTATTATTGTTTTCCTATTCTAAGAAAGTGACTTCAAAAATACTGTCAGGATAGAATATTTTATTTTACTTTTTTTATACGTCCCCTTTTTCCCATTTAACCAAAAAGAATCCCATCCCCTAACCCTTCCTCCTCCTTCTCCTTTTATGAAACCTGAAAATGGCAATACTTTTTTAGAGCCATAATGGTATAGTGTTTGAGTTGGCTGTGTGTTATTTGTTTTTCTTTTTTTTTTTTTAAATTATGAATATGTGTAAAATCTGAGGTAACTTGCTAACGTGAATGGTCATATAACTTTAAAGATATATTTATAATTATTTAATGACATTTGGACCTTTGAAACATTTCTTAGTGTAATGTTGACTTCGGTCTCTAAAAGTGCTCTTTAATAATTAACAAATTTCTTCAGTGGGCTAGAGCCATATCTGAAATATTGCTAAGCAATTTCAGTTCCTCCAGGCACAATGTGAGTTTTGGAAAAATACTTCCATCTCCAAATCTTTTAGATGTAGTTTTTTTTTTGTGACGTATGAAGGAAATGTTATGTTTCATTCTTTCAGGTCTTTGCCTCTGACACAGCTTTGCCTTTTAAAGCAATAATTAGGTATCTTTAAAAAACAACAACAAAAAACCACCCTTAGCCCTTTAACACTTAATGTTGCCCCTTTACCAGCATAAAATGCTGGAGAGATGTGGTTTCCTAGTTTCTTTTTTTGGATCATTATGACTCTCATCATATTAAAGACACAGCACAAGTGAGTGTTGAACACAGACAAGTGTTCTGTGGTTTCATAGTTAAGCAAAACTCTAAATCGCCAGGCTTCACGGTAAAGACCTAGTCAGCAGAAAGCCACACAATTGCTGAAGGATCTACATGCAGGATAAATAGAAGGGTCCCTCCGCAGACTGCACCAACCAGCCTTACCAGACAGTTATTCAGGGGAAGCCCAAAGCACCTTACCCAAGGTTCTGCTGGCAGGGTTCCAAGGAAGTTGCATTTTAAGGAGCAGAATGAAGTCACTGTCCTAGGGGAGCTGGTCATCTGAGGTAGCAACCAAGTTCCAGCCCATGTCAGTAGACACAGGGCCTGTGGGGACTGACACGGAAATCTTTGACATGAGCGTTTCTCACAGGGTAGGGCCAACAGTAGGGAAGGCCTGCCACTGTGTGTGAAATTGAGATCCAGTGGGATGCACTTTGATCAAGGTACCGTGTGGCCAACCCTGAGTGTAATCCTTAATCCAAACCAGTGATCACTCAGACTCTGCCCTCTTCCCATACCGCCAGGGTACCTTCGTTTGAATCCCAAGCTCTCTTACGCAGAGCTCTGCAGATATTTGTGTCCAGTCCCTCTCCAGGATCTCTGGTCCTTCTCAAGTTCACCTTTGTTTACCACCAAGCAGTGCAGGACAGCTGCGGGGCAGGTGGACCTGTATGTGCCTCCAGCCTGAGTTTCCCTTAGAATTCATCTTGACTCCTCTGATAGAAATCAAAGGGGAGGTGGGAACCCGGGACCCCAAACCCCAAACACTTTGCCTTCTAAAGGTTGTGTACCAAGTATGTTTAGATAAATAAGCCACTTTTGTATTACTGAAGATGGAAGTGTAATTGATGCTATTTATTGTTTGTGTGTGGTAGCTTGAAGCACACCACCGTCCATTTGTTTGTTTGATACGCGTTTGTTTCAGCAGCACTTAAAAAAAGCCAGTGTCTGGTTACACTTTTCAGTTTTAATTAATTGACATTAAAATGTTACCACCAGTGCCAGCTGCACCCTATTTAATTAAAAAGGTACTATAGTTGTACATTTTTTTAATGTTAAAAGGGCTTTCTAAGTTTACAGTACACATGTTAAGTGACTGTAGGGATGCTTTAGTGTCAAAATGTTATTGTTATTATAGTGGCTGCAGGCAGCAACCCAGAAACACTTTTGGAAAAAAAAAAAAAGAAAAAAGGTTGTTGCTTTTTTTCCTTCCCACTTGGGAAAAATTCAAGCACTTCACCTTTCATCCAACCACCTCAGTAGGGTGACTCACTTAGAGAAAATTCTTATTTTTGGTCTAAGGGTTCAGATCCCCCCTGCCCCCTTTCCTTCTTTCCTGAACTCTTTATTTGCACTGGGTCACATGTATGATTCCTGATTTCAAGACCAAAGCAAAATCTTACTACTTTTCTGGAACCATCTTTGTACGAGGCAACACTCAGTTTCCTTGGGGTTAGAATAACATGGTTCTTGATGGGGAAACATTGTTGGGATTTACAGTGTGACCAACACAGCCACATGTTTTTTTTTTTTTTTTTTTTTTTAATCCTTTTCAATTGTCTCGGAAATTTTAACCTATGTCAGAGTTCCCGAACAGGTACCACAACTTTGGTCTTAGATTAGTGGAATGACGTCCAGCTTGAAACAGAGAGATTTAACAGATTAACTACTGTTTACTCTCCAAGCTGTCTCATTCTTCACCCCGAGGTAGAAAAATGAACAGAGAAACAACTCCACACCATTAGAGTCTGTCCATTGTAGATTCAGAAGGGAGGAGACGTGTGTGCTGGCCTTGCGGGTTCCTTCCGCTCCAAGGAAAGGGACTGACCCAGAGACACAGTGCATTAGCCAAAGCCTTACACCCATGGTATTTGAAAGAACAATAATAAACAAAATAAAAGATGATTCTTCCAAACTTTGAATCTGTTGTTCTTAAAGATAATGCATCTAAAATTATTTTTTTTCTGTGTGAGAACTTTTTCTAGTTGTCTGTTTACTTCATGTTTACAAATAATTGTTTGCTTTTTAATGCAGTACTTTAAAAATATATCAGCCAAAACCATAATTTACAGTAATTTCTTAGATATTTTGAATAAATTCCATGTCTTTGGATATGCTTACCAGTCTTAGATTTCTGTGGAACAAAAACTATTTGTAGCATTTTGTGTAAATACAAGCTTTCATTTTTATTTTTATTTTTTCCTGATTGCTATTGCCCAAGATTTGCTTCCCATGCACATATTGTACAAATTCTGCTTTGTGCCACAGGTCATGATTGTGGATGAGTTTACTCTGAACTTCAAAGGGACTATTTGTATTGTATGTTGCAACTGTAAATTGAATTATTTGGCATTTTTCCCTCATGATTGTAATATTAATTTGAAGTTTGAATTTAATTTTCAATAAAAAGACTTTTTTGGTTTTGTTATGTGTGTACACTGGGTCTTTTCTCGTTCTTGGTTTTTTCTCTGGTCTGACATCTCTTCCTGCCTACACTCGGGCACTTACTGCTCTTAGGACGAGCCAGGGCAGAAGATCTATCTCTGGTGAGGGGATGAACATCTTGGTAAGCACTTGGCTTGCTCTGCCCCTGAAGAGAAGCAGGTGAAGATTTTAGCAGCAAATATATGTCTTTAGCATCTGTTTCTGAAGGAGTGCTCACACCATCCTTGGGCAAAGTCCCTCACTCTGACTGTGGACCAGTCAGGGTGTGTAGACCTCTGGGAACAGGAACTAGACCCAGCAAATCACCCCTGGTGGTAGTCAGAAGATCTCAGACAGTCCAGATATAGGTAGTAGCCTGGTTTCCTTCCAGTATCTCTTTTGGTCTTCAAAGAAAAAAGCTAAAGCCCAATGGTGAGTAAAACAGACCTTGGCCCCGGGGGGCTCTTAGCCTCACAAGTTCTCCATTAGTGAATGTAACTGTAATTTGGGGATTTTTTTTTTTCTCTGCCACTGTTTCGTTTTGGTAAGTCCCTCCTGTGCGATGAGGCTGAGGGCCTGCAGTAGAGTAGCTGCTTGCTTTCTGTCCTGTGCTTTCTGTCTGCTTTGACTTACTGCAGCTCTGAAAGAAGGGCCCTGAGACAATGCTAGAGAGATGCTCAGTCACTGGCTACTCTGGCTATACCAGGAGTTAGAGGCCTCTTCTAAGAGGACTGTTCTCTGAGAAATCTTGGAAGCAGCTCATTTCTAAGACTAGGAGCCATCCTAAAAGCACCTGGGTGAGCTTTGGCCAGAAAACTTGTTTGCAGCTCTTCCCAGATGTATATTTATTTATTAAAATCAAACATCTCTGTGGCTTTTAAAGGCACCCATGGGGGAGGGGCAGAGAAATGCTCTCTTCCTCTAGTTTTGTCCATCACTCCACTCCTGATTTCTCAAGTTTCACGGCTTGCTTGTAGACCTTGACTTGGACATTTTAGACCCAAACAGTTCTTTATTGGATGGGGGACTGCCCACAATCTAGTAGAATGTCTAGCAGTATCCCCAACCCCTCCCTGCTGGATGCCAGGAGCACCTCCCAGTCCCAACAACCCAAAATACCTCTAGGCATTACCAACGGATGCACTCTAGGGGCAAGATCTCCTTCAGCTCTTCACCCTTGGGTTAGAGGCTCTGTCTAAACGCTTCGGTGAAACTTTATGGACAGAGCTGGTATCAGGATACACTGGTGACTAAAACAGGGTCATCAGGCAGAAGACTGATGGGCCTCCTGGTAATTTCTATTCTTTCACCTGATGGACCCCAAGGTTTGCATGAAGTCGGAGGGTGCTCCATCTGCACGTCGCCCCTTCTCTCTGTGGCCAGCGACCAGCACAGCTGTGGGGTTCTGTGAGGTCTGCCGTTTGACCATTATTTACCGCGGCTGCTCTGTTTTCTCACTGAAATGGCAGGCGGAAGAAGAAAGTCATTTCTTCAATGTTTCTGACCCCTCATGTCCCAAATATTTAATCATCAGACATTTCTGTGAGAGTGGGTGTTTCCTGTTAACTCAATCCCAGCCGAGACTGGCCCAATAAACACCTTAGCTCTCTGTTACAGAGTTTATTTGGCTGGGAAATGGGTATTGCCATGTAAACAGGAAGCCCCCTGAAATTATTATCTACAGATGTGGTTGAAGAGCCACATGTTTGTATTTATGAGATTTGAAAACAGTCTGAAAGGCAAGGGAGAATGTTGGGGAAGCCTCAGTCACATCAAGGTCTTACAGAGAACGCTGAGCTCAATTTTTTCATTAGTTTTGGAAATGGGTTGCAAGTAATACACCAACACAGGAAGAACCACTGTGAAAGATGTAGGGGATAGCTCATCTGAATTAAGCAACCAACTCTCCTTAGGTTTGGGGCTTAGAGGTAGATAATCCAGTGTGGCCTCTCCGCTGAGCTCAATTTTTTCATTAGTTTTGGAAATGGGTTGCAAGTAATACACTAACACAGGAAGAACCACTGTGAAAGATGTAGGGATGAATTAAGCAACCAACTCTCCTTAGGTTTGGGGCTTAGAGATAGATAATCCAGTGTGGCCTCTGTCCCAGCTATGTGAAAACCAGTTTAGAGACCACTCCCAGAAAATGCTTTAGGGGCATTTAAAAAGTAGGTGAGTTAAGATAACACTTTTTTTCTGGGAAACCAGAGGACAACTTACCTAATGACTGGTTTCAGTAGCATCACCAGCTCAGCCAGCCACCCTCACACACGTGCTTCTAAGCAGCAGAATTGTCCAAGCACTGGTGCTCTGAGTATGGGGCGAAGACTATCTTGCTTGCATTCCAGGGCTGCCTACCTCTGTGCATGGTAGCATTCCTCACCCATGGCTCTTTCTCTCCATGGTCTCTCTTTTTTGTCTTGAGAACCTTCTTAGGAAAGGCCAGGTAGGAAATGACATTTAAAGTGTGGACTCCAAGCAAAGGCAAGGGACTCTCCTTTTTCCTCCTTAACACCCTTCCTATGCACCCTGATAAGCTTCTTTGTGACTTCCCAGGGGCTGTGCAGCAGTAGCTGTTCAGCTTGGAGGCGTGGTGGTGGTGACGGTGTGTGTGTATTTGTGTGATATTTCATGGATGTGTATATCCACACAGGATACCTAAAGGGAAGGAGCAGGGAGGATGAAGGGGTACCTGAGCAGCTATTTGAGGAAACACGAGGTTCACTACTCACATAAACATGCTCCTTTGCCGCAGCATTGATTTGCCCGAGTTGTCTGTTATTCCTGCAATTTGGGGTGGAGAAAACACCTTCACTATCCCACACTCACAGCTATGTCACTTCTTCACCTTGACAAGGGACACAGGATGCCCCTAGAGGAGCATGTTGAACTTGACACTTGAGAAGATGTCATTAGTAATGTTTATAAAGCTTTTATTTAAAAGCTTCTTGTGACTCAATCCAGCCCTCTTGTTCAGATATGCTCAGCCAGCCAGAAAGCAGAAGGATCACAATCTGGAAACTCATTTAACTTTTACTAAAACTTACTTCATTTATAAAAATAAATTTTTAAGCAATTACTTGTATATGTGTGTGTCTGGGTGTGGTTTTGTGCATGTGCATGTGGGTGCCCATGGAGGCCATAGGCATCAGATCCTCTGGAACTAGAGATACATGCAGTTAGAAACCTGACAGAGGTGCTGGAAACCGAACTCGGATCCTCTGGAAGAGCAGACTGCCCCCCCACACCCACTCTTAATGCTGAGCCAACTCTCCAGCTCACCTTATCCTGTTGCAGTGATGATGTTGGGCTACTTAGTGGTTTGCTGAAAAGCTTGTTTTATGTTTTTTAGCATTGCAAATGTAGCTCACTTTTCCCCCCTTCATATATATGTGTGTGTGGTATATATGCACGTTTGAATGTGTGTGTACAAACATTTTGGGTGTGTGTGCGCACGCACACATGCGCACACGCATGTGGGGGGCCCATGGTTGACATTGCAAGTCATTTCACTCTCTCTCTACCTATTCATTGCAGCAGAGTCTCTCAGTTGAACCCAGAGCTAGTTACACTAGCCAGCTTGCACCAGGGATCTCTTCTCTCAGCCTCTCCCACCTCTACCCTCCAAGAGCTCTGGAATTGTAGGCAGTCCACCACACTCATGTGGGTTTTACGTGGGTTCTGGGAATCCACACTCATCTTCATGCTTGTGGGGCAGGTGTTTTATGCACTTCTTCGTTTCTGTGTATTCTTCCCAACTCAGTTGGTTCATTCTTGAGCCACTAGAAAGAAAAACATTTCACCTGCCATTCCCTTTAAAAACAGACAGGTGGACAAATAAATAGACAAGCACAACATACAGCAAAATGTTTAAAGTAAAATAAGAAAAGCAAAACTCTACCTGGAGGATGGAGAGCTGGCTCAGCAGTTAACAGCACTGGCAGCTCTTGCAGAGGAGCTGGGTTCGGTTCCCAGCACCCACATGACAGCTAACAACCATCTGTAACTCTAGTTCCAGGGGGTCCAATGTCCTCTTATGACCTCCACAGGCATTGCATGACACAGGTGCACCTACCTACATACACATTAGAAAAAACTCAGCCTGAGGACAAAGTGACAAAGTAGTAGTTCTTGCAGAAGCAACTTGATTTAGGATCAGAACAAAAATGTAGCCAAACCTCATGTGAGTTTATGCTCTACAGGCCTTAGGAAACTTCTAGAACAACAAAATCACGGGAGTTAGCCTGAATGTGGAGGAGCAAGGAGAGCAGGACTCAGACCTAGTACAATTAGAGATAGAGTCTCAGGTGTGTTAGGTACGGGTGTCAAGAACCCCTAAAATAGAATTGCATGATGAATGCACAGATTCGTTCTTCAAAACCAGCAGAAAGCTAATAACAATAGCACAGGACGTGTAGTTGCAGGAGTACTAATAAAATGATTCAATGATTTAAATTGCCTTGGACAACCTCCCCATCCCAAATCAAGTCATGTATTTTTCTGTAACTCCGTCCATCTTTGGTGGTGAAACACTGACCAGTTTCACTTTCATTTCCTTTGTTTCTCTTCATCTGCTTCCAAAAGAGAGGATCATGGTCTATACTGGCCATACCTTTGACCTCATTTTTCCCTCTAGAATTTAATATTTAAGGTCATGGAAATCACGATGACTTGACCCCTTTAGTGGGGTCCTTGAAGAGACAAATTTT